AAAATTATCTGGCTATCCATGACCGCAACAACCCTGAATTTATCAAAAGTCACCAAGTTTACATTCAAGGCCATTTTTCGCACCTCGCGTCTTTGAGCCAGCATTTGTCCATGTCCTCCTGCCAGCCCTGCGGCGGGCTCTCCTGCCAAGCGTTAAAGTAACGGATGATGCCTGGGTGTTCCAGCTTAGCTAGAGCTTTCACCTCTCGCATGACCTTCTCACGGGCCAATTCCCTATAATCACAAACACAGCATTAAAGACAAACATACACACACCTGTATCCCAAATGATGGTTTTTATGGAGCGCTAATGTTTTATGTTGATTGATACCTGTTGGGTAGACGTATCCTCTTGATGGCATAGTTGCAGTCGTCCACTTTGTTGCGTGCCTCAAACACAACACCAAATCCACCACGTCCCAAACACTGCACTGGCTCAAAGTCTGTCAAGTACCTGATATACACAAACACAAATCAGTTAGGAAAATATTCCTTTGGACTTTGCTCTGCTGATCTGAATCACCACTGTATGTTGTACAGTACAGCTGTGTGGCAGTGTTCAACTGAGCTCAACAGAGAAGCCTACTAAAACAGTTACATGCTGTATAAATTAGTCATTTAACACACCACTTGAAAACAATCAAACTCAAACATCAAATAAACTGCACAGCAAGAGCACTTGAGTCATAATAGCTGTGCATTTACCCATGAGAATTTACAAGTAAAATATGATCACGATGCCATCTGTGCATTCCACATTCAGCAACTGCAAGTCTCCAATGTACCATGTGCAAACAAGTGTAAACTATTTTAAGAAATGGGTTTGAATTTCCTCATTTAAAAGAGGAACTCCAACTGTAATTCTGACAGAGCCATTTGTAACTTTTTATTTAAAGGTAAAGTTGCTTCTAGAAGCACCAAATGGAAGTACAATGTGTTTGAGCACCCCGACTGAGTTAGACACTGGCTCAACCCGTGGCGAGAGTATCTACCTATTTGTCCAAATAATGGAAAATGTGTCGTGTTTGAAAACAGGCATTATTTCGGAAAACTTTTTCTTTGAACTACTACCAGTTTTGTGAGTTTGCTGTAGTGTTTATTAGCTGCTGCCCTCCTATCTTAAAAACCCTGGAAAACTAATACATTATGTTATATACTATATGTGTGCATGCCTGTGTGTATATGGCATATTGCTCTAATTCTCATTTTTAGTTTTAGGCAAAATTAATAAATATACTTCTCCTATTAATGAACAGAAACAGAAACAATAAACAGACAATGCAGAGTTCTTCAAAAATTAAATTAAATTAAATTAAATTAAATCATCTTACACTAATAAATCTTACAAATGGACCCCAAAGCAATATTAACATAAATATGAAATTCAAAATGCATGCTCACTTACCTAGAGACATATTCACAGGGACGTGTCTCTGTGACAACAACTTCTTTGGGTTCTGAAACGTCCAGTTCAAACTTGCTGTCAGTTTGACACTGAGTCTCAGACTCCTTTCGTTGCTGCACAGATGAATTAAAAATGAATGAATTTAATTAAACATGACTTTTCACTGACATTATTTTGACACTATAAAAAAACATGATGTTTTGTGTGAATTATGAGTTTTTGTTTACCCGGACGTATGTTGTGGGTGGGTGGAAGAACTTGCGGACAATGTAGGTGGTGGCAGCGATGCAGAAGATGATGGTACCCAGAATCTCTTTCCACCACGGCAGAAGCAGCACAGGGTCTTTCTTTCTCACTTGTGACCCCTCTCCATCTTTCTTCAGCAGAACACTCACTGCTGTCTCATCACGACGGTTGCGGTAACGAGGACTGTATGGAAAGTAGTAGCCATTATCTGCATTGGGAAACCGAGAAGAAGGTGATGAGTTCAAATTCTCTCTCAAACCACACGTTCACAGTCAAACCAAGTGTTGAAATGGCCTGTAGGACTGTTGTTCTTACCATACGGGTACTGCAGTATTGACAAAGCTCCATTACTGTACTCCTCATGAGAGAATTTATCATTATTCAGACATTTATCAAACTCCTCAGAGCCCACCAGGACTGGAGTACGGGAAGGGGAATCTAGGAGGAAATGGACAAGTGTTATTGACAACATGACACTGTCTTTAGTACATATATTTGTTTGTATGAGGTGTAATAAACTCACGGATGAGGGGTTTCCATTTGACCGTAGGTGGTGGCATCATGTCACTGTTACTGCTCCAACCATTCAGAGCTTTGGGCTTTGATGGAAACTTCTCGGAGATTCTCACAAAGGACTGGAGGTACAGCTGACCCTGAAACATTCCTTTAATGAGAGAGAAAGCACATTTTAGATTCTCATTACATGTCTCTATTTCTCAAAAAAAGAAAAGAAAAAAAAAAGATGTTTAGACCTGCTGTTTACACCTGGAATTACATGCGTCTTAAATGCATCTCCTGTGACGGGATTTTGTGATTGCATACACCACCTACTTAATTTGTTTTGAAAGAAGTCTATTCTGCACATCTCGTTATTTAATCAAAAAATACAGTAAATTACAATTGCAAAAAACTGTTCCATTTAAAAATATTTTAAAATGT